TAAAGTATGCATTTTCCCATGATATTAAACACTCTGTCATCACTACATACTCAGTTTATTTAAAATATGTGTAATAAATTACCCATAATTTATTTCAACCATAACCCTGATGGTGGCATTTTGGTTGATGCCAACTTTCACTATTAAAAACTCTGATTAATGTATTTGGGCATAAAGTATCTACATTTTTATTCATTTCCTTAAGGTTGAGTTCTAGAGGTGAACTAACTAGTTTAAATGGTATCAGACTCTTGATATATATATTGCTAAATTGTTTTCCCAAACAGCTATACTAATGCACACTCTCACTAGTAAAAACCGAAGGGCCAACTTATTGCATCCTTACCAATGCTGAATATCCTCATTTTAAAAATTTTGTAGGGGCCGGCCCCATGGCATAGTGGTTAAGTGCGCTCGCTCTGCTGCTGGTGGCCCAGGTTTGGATCCCAGGCGCACACCAAGGCACCATTTGTCAGGCCATGCTGTGGCGGCATCCCATATAAAGTGGAAGAAGATGGGCACGGATGTTAGCCCAGGGCCAGTCTTCCTCAGCAAAAAGAGGAGGATTGGCATGGATGTTAGCTCAAGGCTGATCTTCCTCACAAAAAAAAAAAAAACTTAAAAGAATTTTGTAGATGAAAAGTAAACTAATTATTATTTTAATTGTATTTCTTGGATTACATTGAGGCAAAATTTTTAAAATGTTATGGTACATTTGACAACCTTCCTGATAAGTTGTTTATTTTATTGCCCAGTTATTCACTTGGGCTTTGGTGTTACGCTTTATTTGAATGAGATCTTTTCTTTTTTATTGAGGTATAATTGATATACAATATTATACAGTTTCAGATGTATAATAGAATGATTCAATATTTGTATATATCACAAAATGATCACCTCAGTAAGTCTAGTTAACATCTGTCACCATACACAGTTACAGAATTTTTTCTTATGATGAGAACTTCTAAGATTTACCCTCTTAGCAACTTTCAAATACACAGTACAGTATTATTAACGTCATTATGCTGTACATTACATCCCCATAATTTCTTTATTTTATAATTGGAAGTTTGTACCTTTTAACTCCCTTCACCCATTTCACCCAACCCCATTCCCCAACTCTGGTAACCACCAATCTGTTCTTCCTACGAGCTTGGTTTTTTTTGTTTTGTTTTTAGATTCCACATACAAATAAGATCATATGCTATCTGTCTTGCTGTCTGATGTATTTCACTTAGTATAATGCCTTCAAGGTCCAATCACCTTACCACATATGGCAAGATTTCATTTTTTTCTTTTTTTTTTTTTGTGAGGAAGACCAGCCCTGAGCTAACATCTGATGCCAATCCTCCTCTTTTTTTTGCTGAGGAAGACTGGCCTTGGGCCAACATCTGTGCCCATCTTCCTCTACTTTATATGGGATGCCGCCACAGCATGGCTTAACAAGCAGTGCGCCAGTGTGCGCCCGGGATCCGAACCTGCTAACCCCGGGCCGCCGCAGCAGAGCGTGTGCACTTAACTGCTTGCGCCACTGGGCTGGCCCCAATTTCATTCTTTTTTTTTATGGCTGAATAATATTCCCTTCTCTCTCTCTCCCTCTCTCCCTCTCTCTGTGTGTGTATATATATACACACACACACACACGCACACATTTTCTTTATCCTGTATGCGATCTTAATACACAAAACTTGATTATCTTATCTATATTTTTTCTATCAGTTTTTTTCTATTAGTCCTTTCCTTTAGGATTTCTCCTATTTGTTAATAAATCCTTCATCCAGAGAACATGTAGACTTTCCATTATAATTACTTCTATTATAAAAAAATTTTAGTTTCTTTAAAAACAACCTAATACAGGCACATAATAAAAATTCCAACAGTACAAACAAGTAGATAGCCTGATCCTCAATACCCAAGTTATCTTATCTTCTTGTGTATGAAGATTTAACTACCTATTTCCCTTCTTTAAAAAAGAAAACAAAAACGGTAGCAAGCTATACATGCTTTTCTACACCTGACTTATTTTATTTTACTTTGAAGATCTAATTTTATTCATACACATAAAGCTACCTCCTTCTTTGTAAAGGCTGCACAATACTCAACTGTATGAATGTAGCATCACTTTACAAGTCTCCTATTGACGGACATTAAGGTAGTTTCCAGATGTTAGTTACTATAAACAATACTACAATTAACGTCTTTGTACACAGGTCTTTGTGTACAAGCACAAATATATTTGTAGGATAAATTCCTAAGACTGAAACTGCTGAGATAAAGATGTGCATTTTAAATTATGATAGATATTACCAAATTGCTCTTTTAAAAAGTTGTATGAATTTACAATCCCATAAAAAACATGAGTCTTGCTTATAGTGGACTCCTGGGTTCTGACTAATAAATGTGGAGGGACTGCTACAGTTAGAAAATCATCGTTTTGCAGCCATCACAGTAAAGATTAGTCCAAGCAAGCAACATCAACAGATGCTAAATCTAGAGGGAAAGATTTTAATGACCAGGATATGTGTATGATTTTTAAAGAGTTTCCCTACAGATTGCTTATTATATGCAGAGGAAAAAGTGGTAGCCATATAGTAATCAGAAAACATCTTGACAGACTGACCAAAATAGCATCACCATTGAGGGGCAGATACAGGAACACTGTATGCCTCAGATGTGATACCATAAGAAGGACACAACACCACTTATGTCATATTCCAGCCAGGAATGCATAATCTAAATCTAATCACGAGGAAAGAGCAAACAAACCCTAGGTGAGAAACAATCTATTAAAAAAGGCAAAGCAGAAGAGGACTGTGTTCTCGAAAAATACCAACATCATTGAGACAAAAAAAGGCTGAGAAACTGTTGTAGATTAAAGGATACTAAAGAGATATGCAACTAAATGCAGGACACGATCCTAGACTGGATCCCAAACTGTAGGGGGAAAAAATGCTAAGAAGGCCATTACTGGGTCAACTGACGGCAATGGAATATGGACAGTGGACTGCTATTAGAGATTTACTGAAGTTGATAATGGTGCTACAGTTGCACATGAGTGCCCCTTTTCTTGGGAGATGCACACTGAGGTGACAGTGGGGAGAATGCCATAAAATATACAACTTACTCTCCAATGGTTCAGGAAAAAAGATACATACATACATATCTATGTATATACATACATGAGAGAAAAAGTGAAAAAGCAAATGGCACCCAGCAGTTGAATGCGGGTGAGGGATATATGGTGGTCTTTGTGCTGTTACTGTAACTGCTGTTAATTTGAAATTATTTCCAAATAAAAAGTTTTTAAAAAGATTAAAAAGAGGGAAACAGAGACTGTTCATATCATACACACATACACAGCATGTGAGTGCCTGTTTCCCACCCTCATCAACACAGTATGTTATAAAAAATTTCTAATCTTTGCCAATAATGGGTAAAAAATTGTATCTCACAGTTTTAATCTGCATTTCTCTTAAATGAAGTTAACCACTTTTTCTTAAGTTTAAAGGCCATTTTATTTTCTATAAACTATCTTCTGATTTTTTAATAACTTTTTTACACTTAGAATAGTTCATCTGTCTGCAATTTACTTTGATATTGTTATAGACTAAATGTCTGTGTCCCCCCAAAATTCATATGCTAAGTCCTAACACCTAATGTGATGGTATTTGGAGGCAGGGCCTTTGGGAGATGATTAAGTCATGAGGGCAGACCCTTATGAATGGGCTTAGTCCCCTTACAGAAGAGACCCCAGAGAGCTCCCTCATCCCTTCTGCCATGTGAGGACATAGTGCAAAGATGGTTGTCAATGAACCAGAAAGCAGCCCTCACCAGACACTGAAGCTGCCAATACCTTGATCTTGGACTTCTTAGCCCCTAGAAGTGTGAAAAATAAATTTCTGTTGTTTATAAACCACCCAGTCTATGGCATTCTGTTATAGCAGCCCAAAGAACTAAGGCAGATACACAATGACAATAAAGTAATTTTCAAGGATGCCAACCAAATTGTTCCAGTACTATTTGTTAAATGAATCCTTTCTTTGCTCCACTAATTTCTGATATCCTTTTGAGTATACTTTGAAAATGTTAAGTATATAAAATAATTTGTATTTCTCTTCTTGCTTAACAACTCAAACTAATATTTTTAAAAATTCCACCCAAAGAGATAAGATGACACCCATATCAATTCAACTATATAGCTAAATAACCAATGAGTATATAATAAGTAGACAGTATTTCATGAACAACTCACATACATTCGATTACAGACAATCATATTAGGTATAGATTTAATTATTCTCACATATATAATATAAATTTAGAAAAGTTTTACAAACTATACACTGAACCATTGTTGGAGCCCAAGATATTTATTTTGGATCAGCAACAGTGTTAAAAAAAAAAAATTAACAGTTTCAACAAAAAGAAGAATTAAACAAAAATAATTACTTATCAATAACTTCATATGCTATCACATTTATCCTTAAAATTATCAGCATTTGAAACCTTATTTTTGATGATAAGGAGAAAAAAAATCTTTCTATTTCTAAAATTCACAACACTTCCTCGGGTGAAGTACTTAGTACTAACTGGAGGAAAATGTTTAAACCCTAAAATATTCTTCATACTTTTGTTTTCCTTAGCTCTCTCTTATCCAAAGTCTGAAAATAAAGCACTTCTGTGTAATAATTCATAAGATACTTGAGGGCAGAGCCTATCTCTTCTATTTTCTTTATGAATCCCCACAATATCCAGAACAAACTACTCTGCACATAATGGATACTCAATGAAAGGTACTAACAGAAAGAACATATACTAAGATGAAAGCTCTTGCTTGAAGAGAACTGGATTATTTTCACCAATGAATTTGTAAACAGCAATAATACCACTTTTAAAAATTGTTTTTAACTATACATGTTGACAAAAATAATCATTTCAATACATCACAGTGAATAAGGTGGTCAATGAGCTTCAGGAATTCTTATATTACAAAATCTTACCTCTTCAAAAACAGCAGCTTTATTTACTTTTTCCCTTGCAATGTCACAGATTTTCAAGATTCCCAGAGCAAAAGCTTTCATGGCAGGATCTTCTATAAAGTCTGGATTATGAATGTAAAGGCACGTAAATACTGTCTGTGCCAAGGAATGGCCTTCTAACCATGTTATCTATAAAGAAATAAAAGAATGTATATGTTTAAGGTGATACCCAGAGTCTGCAAAGTCTAAATTGATCCAACAGTCAAAGGCCAGAGTGTCACAGACTGAAATAAATGTAAGATTAATCACAAGATTTAAAAGATTATTAAAGGGAAGGTCAGAGAAGACAACAGAGTTAGAATTCACTTTCACTGACTAAAGTCTTCCAAGAATCATATACCATAAACATGATTTATTTATGGTATGATAAGATACAGCTGAAAGATACAGATATGGGAAGCATTCTTATATATAATTAAGTTTGCAATATAATTGGAGACTAATGAAAAATTACAGTGTCTCCTTACACAGCATCCAAAAGCAATCAATTCCACACATAGTCAATAAAAATCCATAAACTAGGGAATTCACAATTTTAGAACTAACTAGGTCCTAGCCACTCATTCAACTCTTTTTCATCCTCACTACTACCAACCCAGTCAAGAGCATCATATCTCACCTAGATTACTACAAGAAACTATGCAATGGTTTTCCTGCCTTCCCCATCTCTAACTTAATACCCCCAACCAGAGGGTTCTTTCTAAAACACAAAAATAATCATTGAACACTATTTTACTGAGTGGCTACCATGGGCCAGGTACCATGTGCTAGAAGTCGTAAATACCAACAGCAGTCAAAATTAAGTAACTATTATATCAAGTGCTATGCTAGGTATTTTCAAATATCTTATCTCATTTTTTCCTAATACTTTGAGGAAGGTGGTATTTTTCTCCTTGTACACATAAAGAAACAGTCAGAAAGTGTAAATAATTTTGCCCAAGTTTATATAGTTATGTTTTACACTAAGTCTAAGAATTCTGCAACAGATCAAGACACAAGCTACTGCATTATGAAATCAGAAATGCACATGAAAACTACTATAATTAAGGTGCATTTTCTGTATTACTAGTGTATAGAAGAGAGACTTTCCAGACACCTGCCTATATCAAAGGCCAAACTCTTAGATACAGTCCCAAGAGTCTCAAAGAATGGGTCCTCAACTTTGCAAAAATCCTCCCTCTTGCCTCCATTTATCCTATTCCACTAGAACTGGAAACTGCTAAAGGGTAATAAAGATATCTTCGAGGGAAAGAGACAGCTTCGGAGGAAGGATTAGGATTAGAATTCTGGCTATGCCCCTTCCTAGCAATGTAACCCTAGGCAAATAAGATAAAATGAAACCAGGTATCTAATAGAGCTGATGTAAGAACTAAGTGAAAAATATACATTTAAAACACCTAATAGAAGTACCTCACACCCTGACAATCTATATTTACTACATGAACAAATGAATAAATTTTACATATTTCTAAAGACGATGATTTAACAAGTATAAAAATAAAGGGACGGTCAGAAAGTAGGCCCCCCCAAAAAAGAAAAAAGGCAGTACAAATGAGAATTTTTCCCACAATTAAACAACACTATATAGGGAAGACAACCTATCCAGCATATATAAATCACTAAATAATTTTCTTCATAGAAGATGGCCAGTTTACTACAATTTATCATAGATGAGGAAAAAAATCTCTCCAAAGCCAATTCAAAATTCTCTTTGTCTCAACTACATGCTTATTTAAGGAACCTTCAAATTACAGATTTGTTTCCCTGGGAACCTTGAGAACAAAAAGAGTACTTTGGGTAATGGCTATATTATTATCTTCACTGGAAAGAAAATATCCTTTCACCCAGCAAATGAGAACCTAAAATCACCCAGATGAGAAGATAAAATGCTGTTTCCTATAGCATAACTTGGCCTGCTAATCTTATGTACATAGCTTACTAGGCTATAGTACTACATATATTTCATATTCAACATGGGTATGTATACTTGTAAATTTAAAGATTCAGGTAAGCTATAGTTTTTTAATTAACCAACAGTGTTATTTTAACTCTTACCAAACAGCAAAAACATGTATCCATTATCCCTATCAATTCAGGCAAGGTGAGGTCTTTAATTTTAATGGTGCCATCCTAAAAAGGAGAGGAAATATGACATATAAGCAAAAGTTTTTTTTAAATTTATGGTTACTATGTACAGTAGCATTTTGTCTTTCAAAAATTAAATATTTAAGAATAGCAATTCTAAGGAAACTCTATATCTCATCATCTGATAAAACTAAGATGCCAAATTATCTCTGTATTCTTAAAAATAATATATCTTAAACAGGTCTTCAATAAGAAAAATCAAAGCCTCTTTAATTCAAAACAGAATAAAGGCCTTTATAAAGAAATGAAAAGTCAAACCAACAAGTATTTTAAAAGCATAGTTCAAATTAGTTCTAAGCATTAATAAATATGAATCATTTTAATGAATCAAAACTACTTACAAAGAAAAAATTACACATTTTTAAACACTTAGGTTGGTTACCCATACTACTTGTAAATTTTTTTTACAATATCTATTTACTTAACAAATCTTTCTTCATAAAATACGTAAAATTAAACTCTGTGGCAACTATGAACGAATTTCTAAATCAATTCTCATTGAATAAATTTCAAATTCACTACCGTAAGCATTTTACTTAATATATTAATACATAAAAATTTAATCCCTAAGCCAATTACCCTGGTATTCGAATATATACTCAAAAGCTTTCAAAAATTAATAAAAAAAAAATACACGCATGCAAATTTAGAACAAGCTTTCAATGAAGACCTTAAACAATTTCCAGATTTCAATAGAGATAGATAATTAAAGGTTACAACTAATTTTTGTTATATACTTGAGATGCTTTTTCCTAAGAAAATTACACTTTAATATACTAAGTTTGATTTTCATTATTAATCAGAAATGTTTTAACTTAACGCAATAACAAACAATAAAAGAAAACACAAAAAGCACAACGGCAACTACCTTGATAGCTTGTTCAAAATTGAGAACTTTTCGATTAACTTGGTTTCCAATCATGCCAGCATCCATCTTTGGATCCATCATTTCAATGGCAGACATGGCTTCAAAAAGACCAAATCTGCAAATAAAAAAATTTGACCCCACAAATGGTTTTTGAACTAATAAGCGTGCCCAGAGTCCCACATTGGTATAAAAATTATTACAGTACTTTAAATAACTACAGTATTCTATGTATTTAGTCTTCCCAACTTGCTAACACTTCTATTTCAATTAAATAATCTTTCTTTAACATAAAAATTCTTCCATGTACTTGTCACTGAAATTAATTTACATGCACTGTGGGGGAGAAAGGAATTAAAACAAAAGATATTCTTTGTGCTTCCTTGAAAAACATTACACATTAGAAATTTTGAGGAAAAAGGTCAACTGATCTATAATGGATTTCACTTTGCCTTTTCCAAATAATTTTTCCTAACTATTTAACATTTAGAAATTCATGTTTGGAATAATCCTTATCAAATGCAACTTTTAGATTTTTTCATTTTCTTTGTATCTTGAAAGTTCAATAACCTGGCACATTACGGTCTACAGTGCTCAAAGTTTTGGCAATTACATAATGAAAAATAATCCAGAAATCCTGACATCCGTGTCTGGTACTTATGGCTTATTAGCCATAAAAGCAGATAGCTATGATGCACTGTAGACTGATTAGTAAGTATATCATTAACTAAGATACGCCCTCAAGAACTGGGAGAGGAAGAAGAAAAACCAAAAAGAAAGTTTGATGGGCCATCAACCTACTGACTTTTTATTTTGCTTAGTCTAAGCCATTAGATTACCAGAAAGACAAAGGCATATACCTTGTTACACTAAATCATTTCTCTCAGAAAAGCAGCAGCAAGACATCAAAACCAGCTTTAAGGAGACAAACTCTTCCCTGTAATCCCTCAAATCTCTTAATGCTTCAATTCAAGATATTCCGACAATACGACCATATGACAATATTATTGAACACAACTCTCATACATAAATTTGATGCAATGCTAATCAAAACCCAAATGGGGGGCTGGCCTGGTGGCGTAGTGGTTAAGTTTACACGCTCTGCTTCAGTGGCCCAGGGTTCCTGGGTTCGGCTCCCAGGTGCAGATCTGCACACCGCTCATCAAGCCATGCTGTGACGGAGTCCCACATATAAAATAGAGGAAGATGGACACTGATGTTAGCTCAGGGCCAATCTTCCTCAGCAAAAGGAAATAAAAACCCAAATGGGATTTTTCAAAGAGTTTGTCAAGCCAAAAGAGAAAATATGCAAAGATGGAAGAGAATTTTTTCAATAAAAATAGATTCACCAAATATCAAAGATACTATAAAGTTATAATAATTAAAAGCATTTTAAAATATACAGATCAATAGAAGATAGTCCAAACCCACATTTCTGTAGGAATTTTGTACAATAAAAGTGAAATTTCAAATTATAGTCATGTGCCACATTACAATGTTTCAATCAACGATGGACCTCATATACAATGGAGGTCCCGTAAGATTAGTACCACATAGCCTAGAAGTGTAGTAGGCTAGACCACCCAGGTTAGTATAAGTAAAGTCTATGATGTTTGCACAACAACATCGCCTAACGATGCACTTTTCAGAACATACCCCCGTCGTTAAGTGATGCATGACTGTAGTGGAAAAACACTGGATTAGTCAATAAATACTACTGAGACAATCGGCTAACCATCCAGATGAAGTAAAATCTTTGACTCACACAATCTAAAAAGATAAACCCAAGGCAGATTTAAGTTCTAAACCTAAAACAAGCAAACAAACAAAACACTCTTCAATAATTTACAAAGCTATAAAGGAAAAAGTTGATAAATGCAACTGTGTAAATATTTTAAATTTAATACAATAATAAACTAGTCAGTTAAAACACTCAATTATCTGGGGGGAAATGTTTTTAACGTAGATAATTTTCAAAAAGTTAATATCCAGAAAAGGCAAATAATTCAAAAAAAAATAGGCAAAGGACATGAACAGACAATTCAAAGAAGAGAAAATATAAACTACTAGTAAAAAAGCAAAAAGCTACTCAAATTCAAATGTAATCAGGTAATGCAAAACAACACGAGCAAGGTGTTTTTTTTTGGCCATAAGAAAAATTTTAGAAAAAATATTTAGTGTACTTTTACACACTGCTAGTGGGAGTATAAACTGACACACACTTTTTTTTGAGGGAAATTTGGCTGAATCCATTAAAATCCAGTCATTTGATTTCTAGGCTTCTATCCTAAAAATTATTTGCACGTGTATATGTACAAAGAGGCTTATATAACTAAATGTCTTCCATTTTCCCATGGTACCAAAAAATGTTGCAATCTAAATGCCTCTCAATAGGGATACCATAGAATAAATTATGGTACAGCCATTTTATAAAATACAAAGCAACAGTTAAAATGAACAAGGCAGAGCTATACATACTAACACAGAAAGATCTCCAAGATATACTGAATGAGATTTGCAGAGTAACATATACTGTATATTCCCATTTATAATTAACTATTTTTACAGATTTTATTCATGTATGTAAATGTATTTTTTATAGGTCCAGAAGTACATGCAACAATCTGATAACTTATAACAGTGATTATCTCTGGGCAAAGAGTAGCGATTATATGGAGAGGATGGTGTCATGGGAAGTTTTTGCTTCATCTCTGATGTGTGAATTTGTTAAAAACAAAGTTTCCATGTATTACTTACATGAGAAAAACTAAAAAGAAGTTTTTAATAACACAATTAAAACTTTGGACTAATGAGGTATTTGCCTAATTAGTAAAACTACTACAGAAACTATAGTAGTATTAAGTTAGCTATTTCATTCATTCAACAAATACTTTGCACCTGCTACCTTGCACCTACTACACTGTTCAGGGCACGTGAGATACATGAGTGAGCAAAATAAACCTGCCTGCCTTATGGAGCTTACATCTAGTGGAAGGAAACAGACAATAAACAATCAAGACAAGTAAATTACATAGTATGTTTGAAGACTGTACATGCTAGGGAGAAAAGAAAAGACAGCTAACAGAGATATGGATTGGAAGGATACAACTTGAACAGACGGTCAGGGTAGACTGCTGGCAAGTATGTTCCCTGGTGGAGCCTAAAACTTTGGGGAAATGAAGGGGGCTAGGTCCCTCTAGCTGTTCCTCTCTCAAATCTAGTTCCATAGGCAGGAGCCACATTCTTTCCTGCATTAGCTTGTGATTTGGTTTCATTATATCCTTCCTGTCATCAAAATGATGACCTAGAGTGGTTCTCAAAGTGTGGTCCCTGGATCAGCAGCATCAACCTCACCTAGGAACTTGTTAGAAATGCAACTCCTGCAGTCCCACACCAGACTTACTGAATAAGGAATTGCAACTCCTGCAGTCCCACACCAGACTTACTGAATAAGGAATTCTGGGGGTAGGGCCCAGCTATGTGTGTTTTAAAAAGCCCTTCAGATGATTCTGATGCACACGAGAGTCTGAGAAGAACTAAATCTCAGGGTCTACCCCTCCTCCCCAAATGTCCAATCTTGTCCACTTACTAATTTAAAATTTCACATTTCTAACTTTGAAAATTCAGCCTGGCCAAAGAAGTATGAGAACTGAGGCTATCTATGGAAGTACAGATATAATCAAGCATTTCCCTTTATTTTAACCTTTCCAGGGATTCTCAATCTACTTTCATCTAGCCATTTAGTCACCTATCTCTGGTCATCAACCAGCCTATCATATACGACATACAACTGATACCTTTTCTTCAAGATTCCACATCCTGTGCATCTATCCTCAAGGAAAGGACCATAAGCCACAGTTTCCCCAGGTACAACCATTTCATATCACAACTAGGGTCAGCTGCCCTAATACAGCTCACCAACGTTAAAAATATATTTGTAATTAGTTTTACTTTTACAGCTTTGAAATGTAAAATTACTCAGACTTCAAGGAATACTACTGCACATGAGAAGAAACAGATGAGAATATTACACTATGTTATTTCAAAGGACACAAATACTTACAGCTTATCATGAAGCAATTCTCCCAACTTTAATTCTAAAAGAAACAAAGAGAAAAATCCTTTCAATAATACCATATTTGTACTTAACTTTTAAGAAAAATGAAACATTAGTACCTGAAAAATGTGCTTGCATGACTTTAAAATTCATTTTCTAAGAAATGGTTTTATTATTTCTACTCAGTTACTAATAGAATGCCTTCTACTCAGTAAACATTTAAACACTAACTATAAGTTAAACTTCTGAGAATTAAAAAGTGATCCATCATGGGCCACAATATTCCAGTCAGAATTACCAACTTCATTTAAAAAAAAAATCACCAGTAAATTTCCCCAAGTAAACTTTTTCATAGAACCAATTGCTCTTTCTCAAGTTGCTTTTATTTTTTTTAATATATGTTTATTTATTTTATTTTATTTTTTTTGTGAGCAAGATCAGCCCTGAGCTAACATCCATGCTAATCCTCCTCTTTTTGCCAAGGAAGACCGTCTCTGAGCTAACATCTATTGCCAATGCTCCTCCTTTTCTTTTTCCCCCACAAAGCCCCAGTAGATAGTTGTACGTCATAGTTGCACATCCTTCTAGTTGCTGTATGTGGGACGTGGCCTCAGCATGGCCGGAGAAGCGGTGCGTCGGTGTGCGCCCAGGGTTTGGAACCCGGGCCACCAGTAGCAGAGTGCACACACTTAACCGCTAAGCCAAGGGGCCAGCCCTCAGGTTGCTTTTAAATCACTTGGTATCATAATCTAATCTCTTTTTGTCCCAGGAACAGTGTCAAAACTATTTTTTAAAATTACATTTAAATAATGTAGAAAACACTTGAGTAAACAGCTAATCAAAAAAGTGTTCAGCCCCTATAAAGCAGTTCCCAACTCTGGCTGCATATTAGTACCAACTGAGGAGCTTTTGAAAATCCCAATGTCCAAGCAGCACCCCAAACCACTTAAATCCTAGGGATGTGAGCTATGCAGCGGCTGTAAAGTACTTCTGATTCAACGTGCAGGTAGGGCAGGAACCACTACTGTAACATTTGAGTAGCTTAAATATTGATGGTCAAATCCTGTGGCAGGTGTAAAGAAGCAGTTTTCAGAACTTTACCCATCTTGCTAGCTACTCAAAGTTAAATAACGTTTTTAACAGTTCCATGCACCAAAACAGGTAAATCAATGAGAAGCATGTATCAAAATACTACAATAAAGCATAATAGAACACACAGCAATTCTCAAAGATGACCTGGGAACCCAGGAATCTGTGATGTTAAAATTACTTTCATAATAATACTAAAATGTTCTTGGTCTTTTTCACTGTTGTTAATACTTCCACTGATGATGCAAAAGCAATGGTGTGAAGAGGAGGAAAAAAGCAATTGTGGGCAAAACTGCTGTCGCTTCAGCACAAACCAGGACAGTGGCTCCAAGCTAAATAGTGTATTCTTCACCTCCATGCACTTGCACTTAAAAAAGACAAAATATTTTTAAAATTTCAATTAAGCAGCCTTTGATGAAGCAGTAAAAATTATTAATCTCAGGGCCAGGACCAGGATACAGCAAGCGAGCCACCTACGGCGCGAAATTTAAGGAGGCACTCATGTTCAGTACCTTCCTCGCTTCACTCTGGTGCCAGTCCTGACTAATCTTATTAAATCTCAACCTTTGAGTACATGTTTTTTTAATATTCTATTTGACAAAATGGGAAGTATACATAAATACTTCCACTGCATACCAGAGGTCGTCTCGAGGAAAAGCACTTGCACAGTTATCACGGAACACCATTTTTACTTGAAAGAACAATTGACAAACTAAAGTTATTCAGACCTGGGGCCGGCCCCGTGGCTTAGCGGTTAAGCGTGCGTGCTCGGCTGCTGGAGGCCCGGGTTCGGATCCCGGGTGCGCACCGACGCACTGCTTCTCGGGCCATGCTGAGGCCTCGTCCCACATACAGCAACTAGAAGGCTGTGCAACTACGACATACAACTATCTACTGGGGCTTTGGGGGAAAAAAATAAATAAATAAAAATTAAAAAAAAAAAAAGTTATTCAGACCTGAGAATATGGCATTTTCTCAAAAATGAACTGAGTTTGTCACTTCAAGAAAAACAAGTGACAATGTTGCTAATGATAAAATTTGTACATTTTGGGTCGGCTCTGTGGCTTAGCGGTTAAGTGCGCGCGCTCTGATGCTGGCGGCCCGGGTTCGGATCCCGGGAGCGCCCGGAGGCACCACTTCTCCGTCCAACGCGAGGCCGAGTCCCGCGTACAGCAACTAGAAGGATGTGAACCTATGACATACAACTATCTACTGGGGCTTTGGGGGGAAAAAGCTGAATAAATAAAATCTTTAAAAAAAAAAAAAAAAAAAAAAATTTGTACATTTAAGCAAAAACTAGACGTCTGGAAAACATGTATCTGTCACTGTGAGTGTGACAGTTTCCCAATACTTAAAAAGACTTTTGTGACAATACTAGTGGTGATGTTAACAAATGTGCTTTTTATTATTGTATTAAGCAAGTGTTTCAACATTCGGAAGGATCTGCTCAACTCGCTAAACCAATATTTTGCAAATGGCAATGCATATTACAAAATTAGGCATGAATAAAAGATCCATTCCGATTTCAAGAAAGAACAATGTATTTTAATGTAACAGAACATGAAAAGTCGATTGACATGGCTTCAGGTTCCACATTGCAACTAATCCTTAAGAAACTACCAACTGTCAAGTTTCGGTACAGTATCCAAGAAGAATATCCACAATTATCTGAAAAAGTTCCTCCATTTTTCAACTATGTATTTGGTGAGGCCAGATTTACTTCATATACTTCAACCAAAACAACATGCGGCAACAGATTGAATACAGAAGCAGATATGGAATTCAGGTGCCCTATATTATGCTGACATTAAAGAGATTTTCACAAGTATAAAACAACTCCACTCTTTTAAGCTATTTTTTGTTTTGGAAAATACATTTATTTTTTTATTAAAAAAATGTTATGTTAACATGCAATGGGTTTATTATCATTTTCAAATGAATTAAGTATTTTTTTAAATTTCTCAACTTTAAATTCTAATACAGTAAACATCAATACATCTATAATACACATAAATAATAATTTTTAAGACTGTGACTTTTAAGAGAATAATGGGGTCCTGAGATCAAAAAGTTTCAGAACTGGAGCCAGCCCCGTGGCCAAGTGGTTCAAGTTCCGCGCACTCCACTTCAGTGGCCCAGGTTCACAGGTTCGGATCCTGGGCGCGGACCTACTCCACTCACGGACCATGCTATGGAGGCATCCCACATACAAACTAAAGGAAAACTGGCACAGATGTTAGCTCAGAGCCAATCTTCCTCATCAAAAAAAAAAAAAAAAAGTTTGAGAACTGCTGTAATAATCTATCATATACTTAGGGTAGATATGGATACCAAATAGTTTCACCAAACTTAAAAATGAACACTCCACTGACCTAGAAGCAAGTCAATCACTCTAGGCCTTGGTTTCCTCACCTGTACAAGGAAAGGTTGGACTAGATGACTCGTAAGGCCCCTTAGAACTCCAATAATCAGATCACTCACTAGTAAACTACAGGCAATAAACCTTAAAATTTACTCACTGAGCATAATATAAGCACTCTCACTGCATGATCAATAACTGGACATAGAATCATGATCTTGTGTATGTGAGTAATTTAGGTCTTATCCAACTGGGCAGCAGTTCCCAAAATATTTAGTGAGAAGGATAATGTTTTACATTTCTCATTAGCAGTGAGAGCAATGACATCACTACACATCATGTAGTCTCTGGAAAATTCCACTGTAAACTAATAAGAGAATGAGAATCAAAAAGGCTAGTTAACGTCTTAATATTACCACGAAAATAGTTTTGACCTCATATAACCTGTGAGATCATCTTAGGAATCCCAAGGATTATCACACCAAACCACTGAACTAAGTTAACACAATGATTTAAAAAAAGTTACTTCTAGGGGCCAGCCCCATGGCCTAGTGGTTAAATTCGGCACACTCTGCTTCGGCAGCCCAGGTTCGGTTCCTGGGCACCGGCCTACATCACTCATCAACAGCCACACTGTGGTGGCGATACACATACAAAATAGGGGAAGATTGGCACAGATGTTAGCTCAAGGTGAATCTTCCTCAGCAAAAAAACAATGTTACTTCTACTTTAAGTTAAAGCCTTAAGTAGGTGCAATAGTATATAGCTTAAACTACTCAGAGCAAAGGGTAAAAATCGATAGGAGGAAGAGTCGATGAGTCAGTATTTCTGTGATGATCTTGACAATAAAACATCTTTTAATTTTATTCTCACTCTCATATAAGTCATGAATAGACCTGCTGTGAGAAAAAATTTAACTTAATTTTGCAGGTTACAGAATTTCATGACATCTTACTGAGGACAGCCTTCTTTTTGCCTTGGAAATGAACAATGAATCATAACTTGTGGCTGGAGTTCGGACATGTAGCAGTGCTAAGCACCTGAAGGATATGAACATTCTCCTAAAGAAATGTAATCCAACCGGACAGAGAAAAATATGCAACTATGTGACAATGCAAATACACTTTACCATCTTAAAAATGAGAAGATCGTTTGTAAACTGGGCTTATAGATCTTTGAATAGATTTCTACACATAACATTATAAATGATGGTTAGGTTCCCTGCTAGGGTCCCTATAAAAGCCCTACTGAATCTATGATTTACAGCCAAAATCCAGTATCATTGTAATAGTGATACTTAAACACATCCATTAAAGTTTACTCTTGGGTAAAGGTGGCCAATCTAATACATGCAACTACTTTTAATTCCCTCCTGAAATCTCATTAAAACTAGAGAATTTTTTTTTTTAAAGAAAAGTATAAACCCCAAAGAAAAGGAAAAACTGGTGCAGAAATAACACAACAAAATACGGAAAACCTGGAAACAAAAGGACAAGTAGTTTCTTAGCAAACCCAAGAAAACTGAATCGTAAAGCCAGCAATAGAGAAAGCCAAAAACCAACTCGATTTATCACTTACCTCTGAAAGTGAGG